GTTTATTACCATCGAATCATGGCCACAACAAAGAAGATCTTCTTCTGTTTCATGGTCGTGATCTTCACGGTTCTCTTGGGTTGCTGCTCCGCGACGGTCTACAAAGTCGGAGACTCTGATGGATGGACTACGAAGGACGATGTCTACTACGATTGGGCCAAGGGTAAAGAATTCCACGTGGGAGATTCTCTGGTCTTCGAATACGATCCCAACCTCAACGACGTGACGCAAGTCTCAGGCGCTTTAGAGTACCAATTCTGCGACTTTTCTTCCCCTCAAACCGTATACAACACGGGACACGATGTCGTGACCTTCACGGAACCAGGTTTTCACTACTTCATCAGCTCAAACCATGCTCAATGCCTATCCGGACAGAAACTCGACGTTCTTGTCGTCCATGACCCGTCACGTCCGGTTCCTCCACCACCACCGAGCAAGATCTATCCTTTTGGAAAGATGTACAAAGTCGGTGACTCAAAAGGATGGGGAGGAGTATACGATAGTGACTTCTATAACAAGTGGAGCGAAGAGAAAACGTTTCAAGTTGGAGATTCTCTGTTTTTCGAAAATAGTCATGAAGTCAACGATGTTTTAGAAATCAGCGGTCATCTTGAGTTCATATCATGCGACCCGACTTCTCCTGTAGCTGTGCACAAGACAGGACACGATCTCGTAAGGCTCACAAAACCAGGAGTCCATTATTTCATTAGCTCAAAGACCAGTCACTGCTATGCTGGGCTTAAGCTACGAGTCGTGGTCGGACCATTGATCAAAGACGTTACATTCCCTGATTTTACAAAGAAGATGGAGTTGGCACATATGGACAGCCTCAACAGGTGGTTACGTAGCTTCGGCGCTCAACCCCGTAATTAGCATTCGTTTATGTATTTGGTTTTACATTATTAGCTAATTACAAAGATGTATTTTGTTTTTTCCTTGTTTCGTGTAGACCTAAATTGTTTTAAGTACTCACAGAGTTTCAAATTCAATTCATTATATAAAGAGAAATCACTTGAAAAGTTTCTGTTTCGTTCTTCCAATATTTTGTCTCAAAGATCCTGTTCTAATACCTTCCAATATTCTTATTGTGGTTGCTCAAGTGTCTAATCGAGCTTTCAAGCAACAGATTAAAGAAACAGAGAACTTTATGGTTTGGATTTGGAAATCAAAATCAAACATAGAATTCCACCAAGCACAAATTCTTTTACCAGTAGGAGAAAAAAAGAGAACGAAGTTGACTGTTTCTTCAAAACACAACTCAAAGGTTCTTTTTTTTTTTTCCAATTTCTCAGGATGTTATTCATATTACAAACATCATCAAACTTATCAGAGATT